GGAATAAACAGTAGTCATAGCAGTCATAGAGTTCTTCTAAAATAAATCACACTAAGGCCAAAATTAAATAACTTATATATTTATAAAATAGGCAGACATATTACTGGTAATTTGTTGTGTGCAATAGGGTTGCCTCCACGTGGTGCACCCTGGGCAACGTATTCTCATAAGGCAAAAAAGTCTATTAACCGACAGTCGGTTTCTGACTTCAAACTACCATGACCCCATTGTATGTCTTATTCGATCACTTCCACCGTACTTATCCTACTTTTTCTCTGCCTTTGTGTCTGTCTGTCTCTTTTACATCTACGAATCACACGTCTGTCTTCCATCTCCACTTGTTCTCACTTTGATGTTTCTCCCCTCTGTGAAGCCCGAAGTCAGTTAAATGGCTAATGATAAGCATCATTTATTTTATTTATATCAAATGGCAGGCGTTTTGATGGTTATCATTAGCCCTTTAGTTGAATTCATGCTTCACAGAGGAGAAGGAACATCAAAGTGAAAGAAAGTCGAGAGGGGGGGGGGACAGAAGAGTGTTTCAAAGACGAGGGTAGAAAAAAGGTGAGGTGAGTACTGCAGAAGTAGTCGAATATGACATACCGTGGGGTCATGGCAGTTTGAAGTCAGAACTCAACTGCCGGTTTATAGACTTCACTGCCGTTTGAGTATACGTTGCCCAAGGCGCACCACGTGAAGATAATTCTATCGCACAACCCATGATAAGTATCAAAACGCCTCCCATATGAAATAATTACTGGTGATTGACTCTGGAAATAGTTTGTCTTTTGCGTCTGGATCACTTCTGGGCTATATCAGGACAGTTTTTAATGTCATTCACTTAAATCTCACCTTTAATATTGTTAGCTTCAATTTTTGCAAAGCAAGATCCGATCCCAGCTTCAAAGATAGGACTTTTTAATGGAAAGGTAGACTCTATTTGGTTGAAGGTGAACAATATTCTTTCCACGAATAGCATTGAGCCCACAGCTGAAAAAGGCACATACCTGGACGCCCAAATTGCACCCCCCCCCAACCCTCCAAAAAACACACATTTTTTCTGGGAGTAAATAGACCTCCTGTTATAACCCACAATATAAACGTTGTCAAAAGTGTCAATAAACCTGTGCTACTCAACCCCCGGAAGTAACTAGAATAACTCCTTCGCTGTCAAAATGCTACAAATTCACTTGGGTTGCTTTGACATGAGAAACAAAAAAGTACCAACAGTTTACCTATTGGTTTGATCGTTTATTTCCTCAATTACATGATTAGATCCCGACAAGATGACTTCTTTATCTGGCTTCCGAGTGGAGGTAGGTTGCAATTGTGGTGTCGAATCAACGGCATTTGAAAAATTGACCTCCGATGGGAGTGGAGGTGAAGAAACTGGCAAAGATGTCGGAGATTGTGGAGGTTCTATATCAGCAGTGGAGTTAAATGAAGCAGGAGGTGAAGGTCGTTTGCGTTTGAGCCGTTGAGGATCATAGGCGGTAATCTGTGCGTGGAGAATACCCAACCCAACTCCCAAAGCCATTGGAACCAAAATGTCGGAGGTGGTTACCTAGACAAAGGTGGTCCCAATTTAGAGCTTTAATTTAAAAAAATAAAGAGCCAACAGTAAGAGCAACACTAGCTTTGAATTAACAAATTTGGCACGCTTTAATCCATAAAAGCAGACTCAATTTTCATATCTCCAAGGGACTCATTTGCGGCACTCCTGGATATCTTAAAGAAAGACAATTCAGTTCTAGACAGTGCTAGCTCCCTTCTCTCTTTCCATTCTTTCAGATTTAATTCAGCTGTAGCTGTAATAGTGGACAACCAAGTAGTCATATAACGAGGAGACAGAAGAACACTTTCAGTGAAAGAAGAAAGACGCCAACCTTGCCACTATTTGAGAAGGTTAAACTCAATAGGCAAGTGGTAGACAAAGGGGGGGGATGATTAATATCTTGAAGACGGAGAAATGAAAATCGATATGGGAAATCACGATAAGACGTGGCGTAGCTGAGGATCAAAGTAAGCACAATGTCAGTTGCAGGGAGGGTAACATGTAGGCGTACGGTGGCTTGGGGCACAATGACGCCAGTGTGGATTGATGTCAAGGTTCTAGTACGACAGAATAATCGAGACAAGGGTTATCTGCGTTAGATGGATGAAAATAATGCATATTCATCAATTATTAATGCAACGATGAGAAATCATGTAGACCATTTCCTCAAAGTATTTGCCCTCAAAGACTAAGAAGCTACTCAAATTTATTAAAAAAGTGTAATAATAAAGAAAAAAGTTATATAAAAATATACTACTGACAATAAATTAGTGACCACGGATAGAGTTCTGAGGTTTGAACGACAATTGATGTGCAAATAGCACGAAAGAATACTCGGAAAATGGGTTGGAGTTTACGTATAATTCAATCGAATTCAAATGAAAAAAAGGGCAGATGCGGAAGCACCGTAAGAGGGAAGAAGGGGTCGAAGACTGAGTAAAGGACATTAGTCAATCAATTGATTTCTTTAAATAAGCTGAAGGAACGTCTAATCAGATATTTTGGATATGCACGATTCATCGCCATTGTCAATTATCAGAAGTGAGGTCAAAATTAATGAAATTTCTGATAGCATGTTTCAATTCATGTATGAAATTGTCCACAATTTAGTTCAAAAGTATTTTATGATCGCATGAAACGCATTAACTATCAAACTCGTTTTCCGTATAAGAAATGTGGTCCGCATTAAGCTAGCCAAGCCATTTAAGGCATTAGACAAATTCAAGAGACAATAAATAAAGGCGTATGAAAGAGAAGCTGGATGGTTAAAAGAAGCGAATTAAAAGCCTACCCCCCTCCTGTGGGTCAGAGGCGAGTCTGGTAGAAAATAGGTACGTAAAAATCAATCATAAACATCGACCGAACTAAATTACCAAAGATGTACGTTAAACTTGATTTTAGAAATGGTAAACGATCAGATCAATATAAAGTAAAGCAAATTAGGAAAGTAGAACTATTGTTCGGAAAGGAAAATACATCTGCGTTATTAAAAATAAAAGGTTCTAGCATAACGTCACATCACCAAATTAAAGCAAAACAATGTTAAAGTAGAAAGAATTTCAAATGTCTCATAAAACGGTAAAGAATCGGCACCTAGGGACTTGGATAATAAATCATGAATTGATAAACTACCAATCAAAAATCATTAGTATTAGCAGAACTATTAAAAAATAGACACGACCATTTTAATGTAGAACAAGTGCAGAAAACGCACTTATTTCAGAAAGTATAAAGGCAATGGTAATCAATTACAATAAAAATTTATAAATAGCAATAAACGATAATATACCTTAGTGGTTCGAGGGTCAAGCATTAGATAGCAAATGACTTGCAGAAGTTGGAGAGAGAAATGAAATAAAATATAAACCGCAACACGAGGCGATGTGTGTCGCAACCAATAATCACCATGGATAGATGCGAATGCAGTTGTTTTAATTCCTCGCCAAACCTCAGCAGTCCAGTCATTTTTTGTTTTATTTTTGTAAGCAGACCCTAAAGTTAAAATGAAAATAGCCAAATACATTAAACCCGAAAGCGTACCATTCAGTACATCTAAATCAACACGATTATTTTTGCAACCAATTAATTTTTCCGACTTTGTCCCCAATTCCTGAAGACAAGAAAAAAAGCAAAAGATAATACTGCAAAAGAGAAGACAAACTAGGAATTTTAAAAAAGCATGAAAATTATGTATCAAAAGCTAAAGTTATTCTGTAGTAAAAATAACTTACTCGAATAATTCGTTGTTCAATACTTGTGTCCCATAGCCATGCGTCATAATATACAAGCTAAAGTTTTAGATAATCTTAATCAAACTAACTTCAGACTGAAACCATGATATGCTATCGGATAACCCCATGATGAAAATCCGCGACCGAAAAAACAACCAAATAAAAACGATGGTCTGACCAATCACATGAAAATCCAATCGGATTGGTTAACCTTGAGGAGTAAATGAATTGATTTGTTTAAAAACCACAATAATGAATAAATCGTAATTTATAAACAAATTAATCCTTGAATATCAAAGTTAAATGCGAAAGATATTGATTTACTTATATTTTAATTTGTTACCAATCCATATGCTCAATTTATTAGCTTAAATGCAATAATGACTCGAAATAAAACATTTTTTTCCTAATACTAGGTAATACATAAGCACAACTAGTATACAGAGTAAAGAAATTTCGCTAATCAAGTCCGCGTTTTTCTTTGCATAATAATTGAGAAAATATTACTATTATTATTTCAAATGGCAGGCTTTATGATATTTACTATTAGGCCTTAAATTTTGACTTCAGCTTCCCCCATGGGTGGGGGTACATATAAAGCACTTAATTAATAGCAATTCATTAGCTGTCTTCTTGCTTCCCAGTATCTCTGGCTTTCCGTCCTTGTCTTTAGGACTGGACACCGAATCAGGTGGGTCTTCTCCATTTCCTCCTGTAGGTTACATAGAGGGCATGTGGGTTGAGTGTATAATCCCAATCTGTGAAGGTGTTTCGCCAAGCAATCGTGTCCGGTACGTAGTCTAAACTCAGCAACGGCTTCGATTCTTGGCCAGTCGGTTATGCCACTGTCCACAGTTTCTCCTTTGTTCGAGCTTTAAGTTCGTTGCACCATGAGGTCTTGAATTCTCTTCTGCTTA